ATCAGAAGAGGAAGAGAATGGGAAAACTGCATGCTGGGTAGAAAACACAAGGCCTGCATGGCAGATGGTAAGTAATTATAACTGAGTAGCCAAGAAAGGTGAGGGAAGAGAAAAAGGGAAGGTCAAGGTTTCTAAAGGAAAGATTACATAAACGGCAGTGCCTCTGACAGAAAAAGTGAAATTAAAAGAATGAACAAGTTTCAAGAAAGGAAAGGTTTAGATAGCCAACTAAGTCCTGATTAGTGTGAATAATGAATCCCAGGAAGTAATCAAATTTTTCAAAATCCGACTACTTGAAGTTACAAGTAAATATAAAATATGGTCATTGATTCCAGCCCAGTGGAAATATGTAATGAAAATTTTTGAATAAACTTGTATCTGTTTATTAATGTAATATAATAGCAAAAGACAAGAAAAAAGTTTCTGACACAAATTTATGACAAAGTAATAATTATAGAAAACAACATTCTTAAAATTAAACAACTAAATATTGTACCTAATTATTAGCCTACATAAGTGATATGATGAAACTGTCATTAATGTCATTAAAAATCTTTTAGCAGCATAGCCTGAACAGTCTTCTCTTTCTTTAAATCTTCATTATATACTCAGGTAGGCACAGTGAGATTTGTCCTCATCTCAGCAAACTTGCATGCTCACATTCTCACACAGTGAACCTGGCCAGTTGGATGACCTGAGGCATTAGCTAAAATCAGTAATGCTTTAAACCCAGTGTTGTTATCTTTGCAATATTTTTCAACATCTGGGCTAAAATAAATTGAAAACCAGACTCTGAAAACAACTTTAGTCACCCATGCTTTCTTGTTTGACTGCCAAAGAATGGGAGATTGATGGCTGTAGCAACTCAGAGCTCAGGCTGAAAAAGAGGCTTTGAGGCAGCTACCTTTCTACCACAAGGAACACCAACCCCCCCTTATCCCCATACTCTTTATTATCGAAGCTATCAGCCTATTAATTCAACCACTAGTCCTAGCAGTATGATTAACAACCAATATTACTGCAGGCCACCTACTTATTCACCTCATTAGCTCTGCAACATTAGCCTTATCATCCATCAGCATAACAGTATCAACCATCATATTCACCATTCTTTTCTTATTAACAATACTAGACTAGCCGTAGCCATAATCCAGGCCTATGTCTTTACACTCCTAGTGAGCTTATATCTACATGATAATTCCTAATGACCCAACAAACACAAGCTTACCACATAGTCAACCCAAGCCCATGACCACTAACAGGAGTCCTATCAGCACTCTTACTAACATCAGGCCTTATTATATGATTCCATGGCTCAGTGGATAGAGTGATGGCCATGGAGTCCGAAAGATCTGAGTTCAAATCCTACCTCAGTCATCTATTAGCTGTATGACCCTAGGAAAGTCACTTAATCTATTTGCTTTAATCCACTGAAGAAGGAAATAGCAAACCACTCCAGTATCTTTGCCAAGAAAACCTCATGGATGATATTGGCATGCTATGGTCCATGTGGTCACAAAGAATTGGACATGACTGAACAAAAACAAGCATTGGTTTTTATTTAAAATCCCCTTCTGGGGGCAGTTAGGTGGCGCAGTAGCTAGAACACCAGCCCTGGAGTCAGGAGGACCTGAGTTCAAATATGGCCTCAGACACATAACACTCACTAGCTGTGTGACTCTGGGCAAGTCACGTAACTCCAATTGCCTCACCAAAAATAAAAAAAATAAAATAAAATTCTCTTCTGCATTACCCTCTCAATGAAAGTGTTGGCCAATCCATAGACCCTTTAAATTCTGGTTGAGTGCTCTTTTTTTTCCTTAGAAAAGTAAGCTCTAGAAGTCAGCCTTTCCCAAAATAAGCCTGCTTCATCCCCATTAAAAATTTCTAAAATTATTTCCTTCAAAACATCATGACATTTAGCTGCCATACCTACATCTGCACTGGCCATCTCCTCTGCACCGGCCACCTCTCCAGTAATCTTAGCCTTATGCAATTAAATTTTATTTTTTAAGCAAACCAACATTTGCAATAAAAGTTTCTTCACTGAATACTTCATTTCCATTTTCTTTCACTGCCTTAAATAAACTTGAATTTTTGGTCTGAATGTCTGCTCTGCTAAGAGGAATGAATTTTTATTGCAATTTCAATCTATACAGCTAAAAAGACAGTCATTGTAATGCCCCTCTATTCCTTGTAGTGGTTTGCAAACCTCCAAAGGCTGATGAAATTTTGCCTTTGTCTCTTATTCAGCCTGAATGTTTTATCCTATTCCATACAACGAATTCAGGCATTCCAACATCTCCTATTTTAAAGTTGCTATGACTATGTGCATGTTACCCAATCACATCAAATTTTTGTTCTAATGTAATAACAAGCCTCTTCTTTTGGGGTCTGGTAGTGCTTCCATCTGAAGTATTCTTCCTTTTGTCCATTTTCTTAGGGCTCTTTTTTAAGAAAAATTAACAGAGTTTTTAATTGTGTTAATTTGACAATATTATACACAGCAGCACAACACATCCACAGAAGATAATGGGCAAGAGCAGACTGACATCACAGAAGCATGTTAAAACCTTCAATTAACCTGCATGTGTCATTTATAAATTCAGATTTGGCTCCCCTTCAATGTGACCTGATATAACAATTTGCACTAAAACAAATTTTAGGTTATTCAAAGTTACATTAATCTCAACCTAGCTATATATTGAGTTTGAAGTGCTAATAAAATATCTAGGTTTAGATCTTGTTATTGTTCAATCATTCAGTTGTGTCTAGCTCTTCTTGACCTTGCGGACCATAGCAGGCCAGTACCGTCCATAGGGTTTTCTTGGCAAAAATACTAAAGTAGCTTGCCACTTCCTTTTCCAATGAATTAAAGGAAACAGAATTAAGTAATTTAGCCAGGGACACTCAGCTAGTAGGTGTCTGAGGTTGGATTTGAACTCAGGTCTTCCTAACTCCAGGGCCAGCAATCTATCCACTGAGCCATCTAGCTACCTTGGAGATCTTACAGTTAACCTTCCACATCAGTGGAGTTAGGAGTGCAGCACCCCACAATCTAGAAAATTCATGCAAAATTTTTTGGCCCTCCCTTCATACCAGAGAAGAAGTCTGAATTATTATGGTATTAAAAAAGAAAACATGTTGATATTATATAATACTATACATATATTTTATGCATTTCTGAGTTTCTGAATTTTTTCTGTGCATGTGCTAGCCTTCACATTTTGTCTGGGGCTTCCTCAAAACTCCCCAGAAAATTCATATTTAATTACTTATGCTGACCCATGATATATCAAAACCACGATGGGGAAAGTCGCAATGTGGAAGGGATAACTGTAGTTTAAACTATAGGAATGAATGAGATTGTCAACGAAAGAGTAGCAGAGAATTGATTGATGACAGAGAGGTACAGAATGAGACGTACATTTTCACACACAAGTAATATGTGATGTGACGTGATATGTGTATATATGTATGCACATTTAACAAGAGTTATTGTTACAAGAGAATGCCTGGGCATATAGAAGGGAAGAACCACAGGAAGTTTAGAAGAAGACACAAAAAAGCACGTCAGTGTTGGTATTGCTATGTTAGATGTATTGTATGCATACAAAAAAATCTCACAAGCCTACAAAATAATTCATTTTCATATATAATCCTCTTTTCTGTTCTTTGTATAAGTTGATGCTTATTATAAAAATTTATATTATTTTATTTTAAATGAGCCACTGTTTATTTTTTAAAAAAGAAAGAAAATTTAATTTAGGGGAAAAAAAGAAAAAGAAAATGGTGTTGAGAATGCTTAGGGATCATAATGACTGGGAATTAGTTCAAGCAAATTGCTTTACTACACAGAAGGAATTGAAGATTGGATTGGGTGGAAAGGGGGAAGGGAATCATCTTAGCTCCAGAGGTACTTTAGGGGATAGGGCAGACTAGAGAATAGTGTCACAGCAGGAGATTTAGAGTGGCTTGAAGGACCTGGGGAGCTTGGGAAGAGGCACTGGAAAGTGAGTGAGGCTTGCAAAAAGGGACATCAGAGGGGGCCCAAAACAAATTATATTTCAAGAGCTTGACTATGGTGGCCCCAGGACAAAACAAACCCAAGTAGTTTTTAAAAAAAATATGGGTAACTCATACCCCAATTTAAGGGCCTCTTTCAAAAGAAATCCTCCCTCATTTGATCAAGTCCTTCCTTATGTTTAACCCAAGGCTCCCATACAGTAAATTCAAGCCTTTTGTCCATTTGTTCTGTCTTCAGAGGAAGTAAAAGCAATAACTGGTTCATCCATCAGCGAATCCATCAATGAATATCATAATTCAAATACTTAAAGACAAATCACCCTTCACAGCAATTCACACTTGGGTATAGAAACCATGATCCACTTCAGACTCTTAAAAAGAGAATTGCTAGACTTTTCAGAATCAAATAATGTTTTATTATTTTCCTGCAGGACTTTATAAAAAACATTATGAAATATGTTAGTCCCAAAGCAGTAACTATTTAACCCAAAACATCTATCTCTTCTTTGTACATTATATACATCTGAGAAATAAATAGTGTTCTAGGCAGCATACAAAACATCGCTATATACAAATAAGGCTTTAAGCCAACTGCATAAATACATGGCCAGTGAGGATCCATTCCCTGGAAATCAACTCCAAAGGCTTCCATTACCCAAGGCCCACCAAGCAAGATGGACAGCTTGGAATGCAAGCTTGACTTTGGTTAGAGAGCAGACACAAAACCTAACCACAGAGAAACACACAAATTGGAAACCCAGAAGGGATGAAGAGCTGACTGAAAGGGGTTTCTAAAAGCCTGTGCACTGAACAAAAACACACCTTTGGCATTATGCAGGGTAACCCACTGTCCTTTAGAAACCAGAGCCCAAAGAAAACATGTCCAATCCCATCCAGTACCTCTCCTCCTGTCTCTGTTTTGCTGTCTCTGTCTCTCTGTGTGTGTCTCTGTTTCTCTCTCTCTCTCTCTCTCTCTCTCTCTCTCACACACACACACACACACACACACACACCACACACACACACACACAAATTCCCTTCCCTTTTTTGGAGATCAAAAAGCATCCCATCCTCTTAACATAGGTTATGATCTTCTGGTAACACATAGAGACTCCAACTTCAAGGTGACAATGGAAAAGAGCTCCTGCCCATCACATTTGGAGCATTTCAGGAAGGAAAGACTACATAATTCCATCCCAAATCTTAACATTAAGGTATAGAGACAGAAGTTCTAAGTGATGGGCCAGGATCTCTGGGCTATAGGACCTGTACTCTCATGAAATGATATGAGACACCCACAACCTCTCTGAATCTTAGTTTCTTCATCTGTAAAATGGGGGAAATAGTATCTGCTGTCTCCAACTTTTGTAAGAATCAAATAAGGTCATATATGGTGCTGTTCTTTGAAAAGTGATGAAGAAATATAAACTCAAAGATGTCTACTTCTTATAAATCTATCATCTGGAACTTTTTCTAGGAAATTCTGCACTGGTGAGGCACAGCCGGAAATACAAAATCTTTGGAGTAGTAGTCTCAAGTGCAAAGTAAAATCAAGATCGAAATAAGTCCAATCTGCAGCTCTTGGATCCAAGTTTCCTTGACCTATGTCATATAACCTTTTGCATATATACATATGCTTGATAAATGCAGTATTTTCCATACCCATGAAGGAGGAAAAATCTGCTTTGAAATTTAACCAGCTATATTTTTTAGTATAAAGAAAGTCTGATAGAGTACCCTTGATGGTGATGAGTATGTCAACACGTTATTTGCCATGGGTGGTATAAAGAGACCACTTATGGCCTCCAAGATAAATGTCTTATCCATATTTGCATCTCCTAAAGCCAGTGAATGCCAGAGATAGAAAGGGTCTTATTGATCATCTAATCAAGCCCACTCATTTTCAGATGAGGAAACTGAGGCTCAGAGAAAGTGATTTGTTCAATGCCATGCAACCAACTATTGGCAGTCTTTCAATAAATATCTGTTGGATAAATGAGTGAATGATCCTTTGGACACTGCAAGAGAATGTGAGAAGAGAGACTAGACTTCTCAAATAGGACAAATAGGGACAGTGCAACCAAAAGCTGCCCAGAACCCTTCAGCATTCCCCTCTGCATATGATTTCTCCTATATGTGGAAGCACAGAGCACTTCCCAGGTGTTCTATCAGGTCAGAAAGACTTTTTTTCTGAAATGATCCTTAGGGGAAAGATCACCAGCCAGAGAATCCTTGGGGGGGGGTGTCTCCTTTACTGTGTCTCATCCACTTAAGGGTCACTTCACAATGGCTAAGTTTCCCCTTGGCTAAAAACACAGGTGGATATTCTCCAGGAACTTCAAACCAGCACCGAGAAGCATACAGACATTAAGCTTGTAGACAGAACAGGGACTCAGCCTCCACTTGGAGTCCACTGAGCATTTAGTTAGGGTTAGTGCTAGCCTAAGGAGCAGTGGGAGTTGCAGTAATGGATGAGTTCCCCTCCTGCCTGCCATGACAGCAGTTGTGGGAAAAGTGGGCATGAGCCCCGCCAGTCAGCTGCCCTCCTGTGAGCAGCCGAGAGGAGATCCTTCCCTCAGCAGGAACTTTCTCCATGTAGATGGGTGGCAGTAGGTGTCTGGGGCTAAGATTTCCAAAAGGACCCTTAGAGCACATCCATGGCTGAACTGAAAAGAGAGGACCCAGGAGAACATGAGACAGCAACAAATATCTTGGGACTGTTCATTCCTATTATATAATGTACCACAAAAGGAATCACATGAACTCTACTTAGCTCCCAGAATACATCCTTCTCTTCTCCCTTAACCAGCAGGCATATATATTTACACATGCATGAACAATAGGCATACATAAATACACATGTACAATCAACGCACACATAATGTAACACCCTACCCACCAAGCCCACCTAGGGCAGCCTGTTACATCCACTCAGCCCTGTGAGGCAGGTTGGGTAGGTATCACCATTTTTATTTTGGAGCTGAAGAAATATACACCCCATGGAGGCTAATGGGGACACAGTAAATTATTGGTGAAGTGAAGTCTATCACAAGGGTCTTCTGATTCCTGACTTCTCATTCAGGGTTCTTTCCTCTGCTTCTCAATACCTTCCCCATATCCATAGAGGAAAATATTTTCATAGATGTTTTGTTTTTGAAGGGGAAGAGAAAGTGTTCGGCAACTATTATGAAAAAGACTTTAGGGTTATCCCTCAGAGAATGGCCCCAAGACCACAAGTGGGTGTTACATTTAAAAAAAATGAATGTTTACTAGTAACTGCACTACAGGAGAGTAGAAAGAGCCCTGGAGTAGAAGTCATCAGGACAGCAGGTTGCAGCCTCCACTCTGCCACCAGCAAATCTCTCCTAGCCTCAGTTTCTTCCCTTGTAATATGAGGGAGCTTATCTTCAAAGGCCCTTCCAGCTCTAACATTCTGTGGTTTTCTGTTTTTGCAAAGGAAGCTTGGAACTTTAGATTAAGTGCTGTTCATCTCTAAGGAGGATGGCGAGGGGGCGGGGATAAAGAACTAATATCAATTATAAGTAAACATGAAAGAGAAAACTGACAACCTGGCCAGGCAGTTCCTAGGGCTGTGATTTGAAAGTTCAGGGTCACCATGTTTAAAATCTGCACAACAGTGGCCACACACACACACACACATTCACTCACTCCACTGAATATACACCTTCCCAAAAAAATCTGGGAAGAGATCTATAAAAATATTTTTCTCTTGGGAGATGCAGACATAGTGGGAAGTAGAGGAAAGATCTCTGAGGAAAAGAGTAGACTTTCATGACAGGCTCTAACTCACCCTGAGGTTAATGTGCCCATTAACTTCTGAGTGTGAATCTTCCTAACTATAAAATACAGTTATTTTATATGTAGTTTATTTATATTTATTAAACTACTATTTAATTTTATGAATTTATGGGGGTTTTTTTGGTTCAGTCATTTTCAGTTGTGTCTTCACTTCAGTTGACTCTTCGTGACTCATCTGGGGTATTTTTGGCAAAGAAAATGGAATGTTTTGCCTCTTCTTTCTCCAGCTCATTTTACAGATGAGGAAACAGACAAATAGCGTTAAGTGACTGGCCCAGGTCACACAGCTATTAATTATCTGAGGCCAAATTTGCACTCAGGTCTTCCTGACTCCAGACCCTGAAATCTATCCATTGCCCCAACTAGCTGCCTCTGTTTATATATATTTATTATTTATTTACATGAATAAAATATATTCATTGAACTATTTCTACATAATTTATTTAAACCTATAAAATAAAGATGGTGCTACCTGCTATACCTACCCCACAGGGCAGGCTGCTTGAGGGTCAAATAAAACAGTGAATATAAAAGTGCATTTTTTTTTTTGCTTTTTGGTGAGGTGATTGGGGTGAAGTGACTTGCCCAGGGTTACATAGCTAGTAAGTGTTAAGTATCTGAGGTTGGATTTGAACTCAGGTCCTCTGGACTCCAAGGCCAGAGTCCTATTCACTTTGCTACCTAGCTGCCCCCAACAGTACTTTTAAAATTACAAAGCACAATGTGAGGGTGAGTTGAAGATTAAGGGGTCTTATCTGGAGAATAAAATTAAGGGATGAGAGAGGATGATACTCGGAGAAGAAAGGGAGAGGTAGAATGGGGTAAATTATCTCACAAAAAAAAAAAAGCCAGAAAAGTCTCTCACAGTGGAGGGGAAACAGGGGAAGGTGAGAGGGAATGAGGGAATCTTATTCTCATAGGATTTGGCTTAAGGAGAGAACAACATACACATTCAATTGGGTATGGAAATCTGTCTTACCCTATAGGAAAATAGGGGGAGAACGGGACAAGAGAGCAGGGGGGTGATAGAGAGGAGGGCAGATTGGGAAAGAGGGTAATCAGAAGCAAATACTTCTGAGGAGGGACAGGGTCAAAAGAAAGAATAGAATAAATGGGAGGGCAGGATAGGATTAAGGGAAATAGAGTTAGTTTTTCACAACATGTTTACTAAGGAAGTGTTTTGCATAACTGCACATGTACAACCTATATTGAGTCGCTTGCCTTTTCAATGAGGATGGGTGGGGAGGGAGGAAGGGAGAAAATTTGGAACTCAAAGTTTTAAAAACACATGTTAAAAAAAATGTTTTCACATGCAACTGGGAAATAAGAAATACAGGAAATGGGGTACAGAAGTCTATCCTGCTCTACAGGAAAATAGAAGGGGAAGGGGATAAGAGATGGGGGGGAGAGATAGAAGAGAAGGCAGACCAGGGGAAGGGGTATTCAGAATGCATGCCATCATGGGGTGGAACTCAAAAACTTGTGGAAGTGAATATTGAAAAATAAAAATAAATAAATTTATATTAAAAACAAAAACAAAACCAAAACACAATGTGAGTAGAAGAGATTGTCAGTATCACCGCATAAATCATATTTGAAAGTAGGCTTAATTTTGCCACGTAATTCTGTTTAGCTAGGCAATTTTTAACTTTTAAAAAAAATCCTATGAGAGTGGTGCAGTGGAAAGAGAATTGGCTCTAGAGACAGAAGGCCAAAGCTAAATGCCAATTTTGATGTTAGCTGTGTGACCTAGGGCAGGTCACTGCATATGGGCTTCATCATGGGCTTCATCTGTCTTCTTATCAGGCCATTACGGGGCTCGGATGAGATGACCTCTGAGGTCCATTCCAGACCCCAAGGACAGCGTGATGTCCCAGAGCCCTTATGGGAAAAACCCACGAGACAAGGGCCACACGAAGGACAGTGAGCAAAGTGATCATACCTGGTCTGATTTTTTATTCTCCAGCCATCTCGACACTTGGTAAACCAGAGATCTTTGCCAGGAGAGATGCTGGTTTGCTCAGGATCTTCAGCACAGAAAGTCAATCTAGACAAAAAAGAAGAAAATGTAGCTGTGACCAGAACCCAAGAATGTGCAGCAAGTAGCTAAGTCATAAGAAAAACAGAGTCAATCAGAGAGGATATACCCAGATTAGACGGACAAAGAAGGAAGGAGGGAGACAATAAAGAGAAAGAAAGAGAAAGGGAGACACGGCCAACAATCTAGTAATTAAATATTAACTACCCAACCATATGACACTGAACTTCCCCTCTCTGGGCCTCAGTTACCTCATCTGCAAAATGAGCAAGTTGAATTCAATGATCCCTCAGTTTCCCACTAGCTCTAAGAGTCCCCCCCCAAAAAAAAAATATTCAATAATTCCCTATTGCATCAAAATGAAAAAAAGGCCAAGGCCTCCCACTGCATCTAAGGCCACCTCCAGTCTTCCTAAACTATATTTTGCCACTGGTCCCAGATGGCTCTGGAGGCTGGTGACTTTGTCCAGCCCTCCCTCACTTAAATCCAATTCACTTGCAAGTCATAGCATCACCTTCTTGATGTCATGGTCTTCTTTGAGAACGAAGGACAAACAAGAATTGTATCAAATGCCTAGTTTTGAAAACCCTTCATAATGTGGCCCCCATTCTCTCAATATAATCTCATATTTCAGGTCATGTACACTTCAATCTAGTGAGGCAAGTATTCTTACAGTTACATGAACAAATCACACTCATTCCTGTCTCTGTACTTTATACAAACTGTTCCCTCTATCCAGCATGCCTTCCCATTGCCTCTTTGCCCATCCAAATCTGACACATCCTCTAAGACCAAGCTCATGTTCTGATTCCTCCAAGAAGCCTTTCCTAACTAGTGCAGTACCCATGAATCCCTCTCTGCCCTCATCTCTTAGAGCACTTAGGGTCCGTGGATACAAACCAGTGGGGGGGGGGCGATAGAGTAGGGAAAGTATTAAACCTCCATTAAACATAACACAGAAGGCATCCAAAGGGCAAAGGCTGCTTTCGGCTCTCTTAATGTTTGCTCCGGAGAGTCAACCACAAAAAAAGTTCTCCCCTGTTATTCAAGATCTCCCAGAATTTCCCAGCCTCACACACATAAACATAGAAACACATAGACATACACAACTGGTTTAAATTTTCAAAATGAGACTGCTCATTTCAGTGGTGCAAAAAAGCATTATGAGGTGTTATACAAGCACCTGGCTCCTTCAAACCAGCCAGAGAGGAGAATGGCATCAGCTCCTGGGGAGGGGCCGCACAGCACCCGATGGCCAGAAGCCTACAGTGCATTCTCCACCCATCTGACCCTGCCATTCCAGATGGGGCCTGGCTTCCCTGTAAGACGGCAACATCTTTCTGAAGCTGGAGTTGGGTATGTCAGAGATTGAAAATGAAAACAGCATCCCAACCCAGGCACTCAAGGGAAAGGCATGATGCTTTGAAAATGAGACACTACTGGGAGGAAGCCATGCCTATCAAAGACATCTTACTGGAGCAAGCCGGAGAGCCACCAGCCTTGGCCCTTGGCACACAACATACAGATCTTTAATTCTGGGCCGAGGCCGTAGTGGAATAGATGACCTTCCACATCCTGGGGTTTTCAGAGTTGTTATAAGGACCCACCTGCCTAAAAGTGGCTGAAATCCCCACCCCAGGCTGGTGAAGTTGCCTTGTTTCATAAAGCGAGTCCTTCCCTATAAAGGTATTTTTTAAATAATGGCTATTTTACCCAAGTGCTGGAGAAGCTCATAAAAGGTAGGGGAAACAGGTTTGGAAGGAGTGAGGAACACAAGAGACATGAATGCTCTGACAGGAGAAAGGCCAGTGGGTGACTTACTTCTGCTGGGTTTCCCCAGATTTGACCCGAATGCGCCTAATGTGAAGCTCCCTCACAGGGTTGTGGGGTTTCGACAGATAGCTTCGCAGCTCTTTCCACAGGTTGTACCAGGATTGAGACGTGCCCTCCCAGGAGAGCTTGATCTTCAAGAGGTCACCCATGTCCTCTTCCGTGTACACCAGGAAGGTGTTGGTAGCATTTAAGTCTATCTGCTCCACTCTGCGGGACAAGAGCAAAGCTGTCTGTCTATGGCACTCACTTGGTCCTAATTTTCTATACCCTCTTCCTGCTGATTATGAGAAGGTAATAATAAAAACAGCTGGTGTTCACATAATGCTTTAAAAAGTCTGTAAAACGTTTTAGATGTATTACCTCATTTAAGCTCTATACCGATCTTGTGAAGGAATACAGATACAGGTAACCCCTTTTTTTAACTGGGAAAACTGAGGCTCAGAGAGGTTAAGTGACTTGACTACAGTCACACAGCTTAGAGGCAAGGCTTTCACAACTCCATGTCCAGGAACCTATCCACCATACGATGCTGCCTTTCTAATGCATGTATCTTACCTATAAACTGAGAAGGTTGGACCTATTAATTTCCCAGCTCTTCTTAGATTCTACAACTATGACAACATGACACAGTAAATAGAGCACTGGGCCTGGAGTCAGGATGACCTGGGTTCAAATTTGGCTTCAGACACTTATTAGCTGTGTGACCCTAGGCAAGTCACTTGACCTTAGTCTGCCTCAGTTTCCTCAACCATAAAACAGGGATAATATCACCTACCTCACAGGGTTGTTGTGAGGCTCAAATGACACAATATTTGTAGAGTTTAGCACAATGCCTAGCACATGGTAGGCATTTGATAAATGCTTGTCTCCCCATCCCTCTTCCTAGATTTTAGTTTCTTCAATTGGAAAACAGGAATTGGACTAGAGGAGAGATTCTTAGCCTTTTTTGTGTCATTGAACATTGGTGAAACCTATGAATCCCTTTGTTGAATAATGTTTTTAAATGCATAAAATAAAATACATGGGATTATAATAGAAACCAATTATACTGAAATACAGTTACCAAAATATTTTTGAAAACAACTTAATTCAATTGAAATGTAAGTTCCATTTGATTTCATTTTCTTACATTATAATTTTTTTATATTTGCTACAAATTGATTATTATTTTCATTTTGAGATAGGTATTGCATCTGAGGTTTCAAAGAACAGTGCAACATAAAATGTAAAGATAGTATCAACATTTCATTATCTGGTTTGTTTGTACTATAATACAACAAATAATATTAACTAATGAACATGTAAACTAAAAATAAAAACAAGTTAATTGACCCCAGGCAAAGAACTCCTAGACTAGGTGATCTCTGAGGGTCTCTTCCAAATGTAATATTCTAAGAGCTTCTTTGGGCCTCTTACCCTCCTGCCCCCATCCCAATACTATACAGGCCTTGAGTCCAGGAAACTTGTCTGGTGTTTCTGCGCCTCCCCACAAGGAGACAACAAACATGTGCTGACTGATGCACTTCTTGTCCTACTACATACCCATCACACAACAGGAAAGCATGATCTCTGTAGGTTTCCCAAAGCCCTGGGTGTGACATAACCTGGTTCTGCCTGCCTGATCCCCAAACCATGCTCCTGTTGCTGATTCATCACAGTCAGCCCACTCCCTGTTTCTGCTGGTGCTGAGTAACAGCTATGTATGGCACAAATTTTGGGCTGGTATCCTATGAGAGAAAGTGAAAGCAACAGAGGAAAGATTCATCACTATCCGTTTTATAGGGAAGAATGACTTATCCTTGATGAGAATAGAAATGCTTCAGAGAGAAATCAAAGAAAAGGAATGTGAAGAGGATGTGAAGAGACAGAAGGAAGTCCTACCACATGTCAGAAGTTGGAGAGCAGAAGGAAGTGAAGAAAAGAGGAAAGATTACAAAATATTTGGAGCTAAGTGATAAGTTCTGGGCCTAGTGGATGATTACATGATGAGAGGTACAGAAACAGCCAGATATCAACGTAACATTAACAATAGAAAAGACCATTTTCTCAGGGCATGTATCTAGGATGTGAGTTTTGTCAAACCTGAAGACCTCTACCCACTCCAGGTGATTATGGATGGGGGGGGGGGGGATGTGAACAGACAATGCCTTCAGAAGGAACATAGATGGCATTATGAGAGATTATGAAATCCTGGGCAAGAAACTGAAGACTTTTGGAGGAGAAGAAATATTATTATCACTGCTGCTGGTTGAAAGTAGGGGCTTCAAAAGAGAAAAGCTGAACTGGTTGAAAAGGAAGTACATGAAGACAAAATTTGAATTTGTGAACCACAGTTTAAAATATTAATTTGAAGGGAGGCTTTTTCAGGGTTACTGAAGTCTATGACCCTTCACCATTTAACATTTTTACCAGTAACTTGGTAGAAGCCATAGGTGGTATGCTTACAAAATTTGCAGATGACATCAGTCTGGGAGAGAGAGCTAGTATGTTGAGTAAGAGTGTCAAGATCCCATAAGTTTTCCAGAAGCCTGAACAATAGACTTTATCAAATACACTTGGGTAAGAAAAATCGGGGCAAGTAAGTGGTGAAGTAGATAGGGTGCTAGGCCTAGAGTCAGGACAACTCATCTTCTGAATTCAAATCTAGCCTCAGACTCTTACCCTGGGTAAGTCACTTAACCCTTCTTGCTTCAGTTTCCTCATCTGTAAAAAATAAGCTGGAGGAGGAAATGGCTAACCAATCCAATATCTTAACCAAGAAAACCCCAAATGGGGTCATGAAGAGTCAGACATGACTGAAAATAACCGAATAACAACAAGAAAAACCATCCTCTCCATCCTTTCTCCCCTCCCCCTAAGGTTCCTCGCAAAATTTGGTCCAGACCACGAGAAAGGTAGAATGCGACTTACATTTCTAGAGGAAGAGACTGGGAATCTGTGTTGGTGCCATAAAGTGTAACATAAAACGAGGGTTCTGTTTCTCCCATGGTCTTGTAGCTGAAGACATGGATTTTCATCTGATAATGGTAAACTGTAGGTACGAGAAGAACACAGACATTTACAAGGCCTTGCTTGTGATTTCCTGGTACCAGAGGACTGGCACTAAGGGAATGACTTGGCAAACTGACATTTGGAGATCAGTTGACAAAAGACCAGAATCCAATATCTGAGCCAGGTAGCAAAAGCAATCAGTCTGGGCTGGGCCCTTTGATCCACCCGATCCCGTAAAATCTGGCTTTTCCCCTCTTACTCTTTGTCAATATTGCATCATCAGAACTTGTTTCAGGTTAAAGAGAAGGCAGCTTTAGTTTATGCTAAAGGAAATGTATTGTGGTTGGACAAGAGTAGGCCTTCATTAAATGTCATCATAGGACTGAACAGCGAGAAAGCACCTTAGGGCTAACCTGATCCAATGCCCCCAGTTAACACAGGAGACAACTGAGGTCTAGAAAGGAAAAGCAACTTTTCCAAGGTCACATACAAGTAATAAGGAGCAGAGCCAGGAACGGAACCTTGATTTTCTAACTCCAGACTCAATGTTCTTTCTCCAAGCTGCCTAGTTGTATATTGACGTTGATGGATTCGGTTCCTTTGCCAACGGGCCAAAGTACAAACGTATTACAAAATGAACTGAGCCAAAAAACATAAATCAATTAAGAGAATGCAACTCAGTGGCACAACGTGGCAGTTTCATGTGTTTGTGGCCTGACGCCATTTTCGGGAGGCAGCATCACGGCAAAAGTTTCTGACATGCACTCTATTCACATAATGTGGTATAGTGGGATAAAATGCTGGGCTTGCAATCAAAAAACAAAACAAAACTTGAGTTCAAATCCCTCCCTTGATCCTAGCTGGGTAACCTTAAATGAATCATCTAATCTCTATGTGCCTCAAGCAACTCCCTGGGACTATCTACTAAGTGGAAAGTTAGGATTAAGGTGGAGAAAGTTTCCACACCAGGATTTCCCCATACTGATGAAATTACAACTTCTTCAGGTACTCATTGTCCTTCTTACATAATGACAATGCTACCACAAACCTCCTGCCATAGTAAGGGTTCTGACTGAGCCATCTGACCAAAAAAGGACATGTTGACATCAAGGATAGCTACCGTAACACAACAGGTATTATCTGTGGCCTTAGGCTCTTAGGACATAACAAAAGAAACAGGCAAATCCATGACCTTAGGCTCATTGGCAATACTAGCAATATGCAATTATAAAGAGCTTCTCATAGGAAGACAGGGTCTATTATTATCCCTGTTTTATAGAAAAAGAGACCAACGTTCATAGAGGTTCAGTGATCTGCCCAAGCTTTCATGAGTAGCATGGTGGTGGAGCCAGGATTCAAACTCAGCTCCCCTACATTCAAGTGCACTAGTCCAGAGGTGGGGAACCTTCAGCCTCGAGGCCACATGTGGCCTTCTAGGTCCTTGGGCGTGGTCTTTTGACTGAGTCCAAGTTTTACAGAACAAATCCTTTAATTAAGGAGATTTGTTCTGTGAAGTTTGGAGTCAGTCAAAGGGCCACACTTGAGGACCTAGTGGGCCACATGTGGCCTCAAGGCTACAGGTTCTCCACCCCTGTACTAGTCTTTCCACTATTCTAAACTGCCTCATTAACACTATTCTCAAACCACCTAAATCCACTATCCTCAGCTACCTGTAGTAGAAAGATACCTGCCTTGCCAGCCCTAGGAGCACCTAAATCATCCAGTTTCACTGAGCTGAACTCGGGTGGGGTCACTTCCATAAAAGAAACAAGGTGCCGAAGATTTTCTTCTCTCTCAGATCAGTCTTAGCAGTCTCATAAGCCCTAGCATTAGTGTTATTGAAAACAAAAAAACAAAAGAAAACAAAAAGACAACCTATAGCCATTAGCAACTGAAAACAATGGGGCAGCTGTCAGGACATGAACATTGGGAGACCAGACAGAAGCATCATTCATAATTCGATGAGTAGGCCAGGAGTCAAGCCCATAGTAAAGTCACCAAAGGTGATGCTTTTTTTCTCTCTGGAGTTTAAGATTTTGGAATAGAGAAGGAAGGAAATAGATTCCCTGACTAGATGATGTCTTCCTGACTGAAAGGGCCAGGTTAGAATTTGTGCCCCCTTTGAAAAGTAAACTATCTCTTGACCTATCCATCCACCCCTACTGACTCGAAAACCACCCAACTAATGGCTGATATAAGAAGAGGAAGGAGTAACCTTAAAGATAGTCAGTCCAACCCTATCACTTTACAGAGAGCAGACAGAGGAGCAGAAAAACTCAGCTAAGGTCACACAGGTGGCAAGTAGCTCAGTATTTGAACCCAAGTCTCCTGACTTAAGATATCCCTATTTCCTCCACAATACTCATTGACATTGTTTAAAATGTAATTCAACTTACAGGAGTTTAACTTAATAGCTAATTTTCCTCAAGACTCTGGCTGTCCCATAACAATGTGCATTTATCAGTGCCTAGCACATAGTGGGTACTTCAGAAATTTTTGAGTGAAGAATCTAAGACAACTCCAAAAAGTCTCACGATGGAAATTGTTGTCCACACCCAGAGAAAGAACTATGGATTCTGAATGCAGATGGAAGCATACTTTTTGCTCTCCTTTTCCTTTGTTGTTTCATTTTATTGCTTCATTCTTGTGGTTCCTCCCATTCATTCTAATTGTTCTTTACATCATGACTAATGGGAAAATATGCTTAATCTGAATGTATAAGTAGAGCCTATATTCGCTTGCAAGCTGTCTTGGAGGGGAGAGCAGCCGGAAGGGGGAGAAAATTTAAAACCCAAAATCTTATGGAAGTGAATGTTGAAAACTAAAAATAAATAAATTAATTATGAAGGGAAGGGGGAAAAAAAAAGAAATTTTTATTAAACTGAATTATCTGAGCTTGGACACTAAACCGAACAGTAATGTTGAGGAGCGAGAAGCAGAGCTACCTTTGAAAGGCATGCCAGCTCGGGTCTTTAAGTACATCTTGCTGTTTCTTTTGTGCCGGATTTTCTTGGCGTTATAGCCGATGCTGTTGCAGCGGTTTTTCCGGCAGCTCAGACAGATGCCTTTCTTAAAACGATTGGAGTCTGTGCATTGGAAGGCAAAGCTCTGCTTGTCCTGGTTCACCAGAGAGTCCACAAAGAGGTGTACAGCCCGTTCGTGCTCACATTTCATCACCTCAGTGATTGCTAAGGGAAAGATGAAAGAAAGAAGAGAGTGAGGGGAAAGGGGCGGAAGACCTGAGCCCCATTAAGGTCAAGACTTCAAGCATCTATGAATGTCCCCAAGGTGATGCTCCCTTCAGCTTCGTGAGCCATATTTGAGTTTCATGAATTGCTGGGGCAAAGAAAAAAAATGGCCTCTAGGATGATATAAGAATGGGAATGAACCTTAGAGATATTTAGTTCAACCCAGCAGAGTGACTTGGCCAAAGTCAGCCCCGGGGTCAGCCCCTCTGGTGATAAGCAACTCCGGGAATTTCAAGAGCACCTCAGTTCACCCCAGTCTGTCTGTGAGCCAGTTCTGTCTTCCAAAAGACTAATTAAAACTATTCTGAGAAATCATTTAGGTTCATTACAGAATAATTAAAGCAACTAATAAATTAACTATGAGAACAAAGGCCGTACATACAGAGCAGGCATAATGGGGCACCCCCAACCATCAACAGGTTTGCAAAACATTGAGCTATTTCAGACAAAGCATGACAGAAGAAGCCAAGTGGGTTCATAATAAAACAGATGTGTTTGGCAGCACGAAGGATATAGCCAGAGGGGCTGGGGCTAGGACAAAGCAAAGTATGGCGGAATGAGGGGTAGTCCTATCAAGGAGATGTGATCACTAAAGTTGAGCATATGGTGAAACGGGATGGGAGGGGGTAGTGGGCAAAGAAACTCACTTCCATAGGCAATTGATCCTAAAACATCATTCAGCCCACAGCCTGGCTGGTAGTCACCCCCATTGGGATAAACATCAATGTGACCCACGGGCATCTGGATGCCAATACTCAAGCCGAAGGAACGAGTGTACGTATGGAGGACATCCACAAAGTACGCATCATCCGGGGAGAGCCGCTTGTCAATGTCTGCGCCTTCAAACATGGGGCCGGCAGGATCCAAACCTAGAAGAAGGAAGAAAAGCAATGACACTGCAGAGAGCAGGAAAACGTCAGCCGGGTTGGCAATGCTTACTCAGCACTTACTGCACACCCTGAACTGGGCTAGGTGCTTGGATGGTAAAACAAAAGAGAGTGGGAGGACATGGTCCCTGCCCTCAAGCATCTTACAGTGTTGTCATGGACTTTCATGGTAGCCTCGGCCCCTGCAGCTACCTCAGTAAACCATGTAGTCACACAGAGCAGGTGTAACCTATGACTGTGTGGAATTCCATGGGGTTTTCCCTTGAGTTATTTCTGACTCATGAGTGCTAGAACTCAGTCAAAAATTCTAGAAAGTAAGTACTGATGCTAGCAGGAAAGAGGCTGTTCATAAGAGCATGGAATCTAACCCAGCCCCCTCATTTTACAGATGAGGAAAATGGGGGGGGGCAGGAGGGGGAAGAAGGAACTTGCTAGGGGACACCATAGTGTACAGAATGCCAGGCTTGGAGTCAGGAAGACCTGAGTTCAAATCCCATCTCAGATACTCACTAGCTATGTGACCCTGGGCAAGTCACTTAACCTCTGTTTGCCTTAGTCTCCTCAACTGTAAAATGGGGATAATTTACCTCCCAGAGTTGTTGCGAGGATCAAATGAGATAATAATTATCAGGTGCATATATATTTGTGTGTGTGTGTGTGTGTGTGTGTGTGTGTGTGTGTGTGTGTGTGTATTGAGAGAGAGAGAAAGAGTGAGAGAGAGAGACTGAGAGAACTTCCCCAAGATCATACAGGTAAAAAAAAATGTCAGAGGTGAAATTATAACCCAAGCCTTCTCCAGAGCCAGCATATATTCCATTGTACCAGGCTGCCTCCTCATCTTATAGAATGTTAGAACTGGAAAAGACTTCAATAATAATAATAACTGTGTAGAGCTTACTATGTGGCAGGCATTACACTAAGCGTTTTACAATTATTGTCTTATTTGGTCCTCACAACAACCCCAGGAGGTAGGTGCCCATTTTACAGATGAGGAAACTGAAGCATACAGAGGTTAAGTGACTTGCCCAGGGTCATACAGCTAGGAAGTGTCAAAATCTGGATTTGAACTCGGGTCTTCCTGACTCCAGACCTGCTGCTCTAATCACTTCACCACCTAGCTGCCTTTGTAGACTATCAAGTCCAAATTCCTCATTTTACAAAGAGGTAGAATTGAACCTCTTGTCACATCCATTCTTGAGTTTATCTAGGCCTTAGTAAGTACAAAATTGGAAGGAAAAAACCTATCATCTTATACACACACACACATACGCACACTACACCTGCCATTCAACTTCACAAATGTCCATTTCCAATCCTACATCTCATCATTTCAACGACTTCATAAAATCCCACGTACTGAGTTGCAGGAAGTGTAACTAAAAGCAGTTGCCAAAGTTATTAGAAGTGGGTGCAGCAATGACAAAAAGCGAATTATTTGACAACCGCACAGCCTGACCTGTCACCGCTGCCACCAAAAAGTACTTTCCAAAGAGACCCGCAACTTCTGAAACGCCTCCTCCCCTCCCCACAAAGATCTCTAGCTTCCCTCCAAGCAAGGTGTCTCTGCTTCCGCTTATGGCCTTTCCTGACCCCTCCTCTCCTCCCCTCTGCCCCCCTCCCAAATTATCAGCACTCTGAGTTGGAATTACTTTGTACCTACTTACTTACGTGCAGGTTTTCCTCTCCCTCCCAAATGGAATATAAATTCCCTGAGGTCAAGGGCTTTTTTATTTTCATCTCTCTGTCCTCAGCTCTTATCAGCAAATAGTTAATGCTTAATAAATGTTTATTGAATGAATGAATAAATGAATGGACTCACTGCAGAATCAGAATTTAAAACCAGGTGTCCTACTTCCTAATCTAGGGCCCCTTCTGCTTGACCACAGCTGTATCTTGTTTCTTAGGTTCCTTTTTGGGGTTTAAACTACAAAGTAACAATGGGAACCAGTGTCCCCAAAATACAGTCCTTTGCAGTAGAATGTACTCTGACCTTTCCCTCGATGAGAGTCAGACGCAGGCCAGGAGGAGACAGTCTGAGAAGCAGTATCTTGACAGTCCACAATCCCTCCTACACAGAACTGGACACCCTCTCTGTCTCCCAACTTTCTGCATCATACAAGACTGAGGAGACAAGATTCAGCTCCACCTACAACACTCTCAGTAGCTCAGGTAATGTGCCTCAAGAAAGACACTACAGTACAGCAAGAGAACTAACCTGTCTATGCCTTTAACGGAAGCAGAATCAGCTGGGGCATTTAAGAACCAGTAAGAATTGTTTCCAATGCTGACCGATAGCTAGCCTGCCCAACCTAACCTTCAGTCATTTATGGGATGAGATCCACTCAAGTAAGCTTCCTGGACTCAGATCAGGAATAGTCAATCAACAAACCTTTCTTAAGCACTTACCATGTGTCAGGTGGGATAGCTAGGAGGTAAAGTGGATAGAGCTGCCCAGGCCTGCCCTGACCACAGTCAGGAAGACTCATCTATCTGAGTTCAAATCTGGCCTAGCTGAGTGACCCTGGGCAGGTCACTTAACCCTGTTTGCCTCAGTTTCCTCATCTGTAAAATGAGCTGGAGAAGGAAACCCCAAATAGGGTCATGATTGAAAAATAACTGAACAACAATAACAACAACATGTGTCAGGAACTATGCTAAGCTCCGAGGATTCAAAGCGAAGTAAAAACATGGGCCCTGGCCTCACATTCTAATGAGAGAGACAAACATAAAAATAACTAGGTACACACAACGAGATATTTACAGAGTAGATGGGAGGTAGGCACACTCCAAGGGGAAGGCATTAGCCACATTGCCTGGATTCCCCAGGAAGTTTCCCTGACACAACTGTATTTCTGCATCTCCCCCCAGGAAAGTACCAGGAAATAGGAGGAGAGCAGGGTATTGTATCTGCATTCTCTTGACACCGCGGCTCTTTTGTGCTGGGACTGTGCATGGTACCCTCCCCTGTGGTAGGAAGCCTCTCTTCTTCAAGTGGGTGATGATAACAAGCCATTCTGATATAGCCAAGACTGCATATCTGATAAGGACACTTCCAAAACTGTCCTATCACACTAAGGACATTTTTGTATGACCAGTCCTCCTACTTTACACAGAGGATAATATTGAAATTCATCACCTCTAAGTGATGATATAGGTTAAAAAATAGAAACAGCTTCTGAACAGGTTTAGACAAATTCATGGATAACAGATCCATAAAGCGAAACTAGGATGCTTGGGGTTACTCCCCTAAACATTGTCCCTGAAAAAGAAGATGACAAACAAAAGCAATTCTGATTCAGAGAATAACCAGACCCTCTTTGTAATGCACACCTCCCGCCATCCTCTTTCAGAGAAAAAAAAAACAAAACAGTGCTCTGTGGACTATGGGGTGAGCCCAGAGAGGCCTTCTATTGCTTCCTACCATGCCCCTTCCCCCCAAAAGAAAAAAGAGAGAGAACATTTCTCCTATGCCACCAACAGAATAAAAAAGGTTCTTTTCTTGGTCTGAACAAATGTACCCACCAAAGAGTGAGTGCCACGGAAACTAAGCTGAACCGCAGGAATGTGAGGGGATTGTAGAGTCCAGGAGTTAGGCTGCTGGGAGCAGCCTCGTCAGCCGGGCTATGTCCCCCAACTCTTAATGTAATGACACATTTGTGCAGGCTAGTGAATGAATGTTTGAAAAACCAAAAGCTCAACATAGCGACCTTTCCAAGCAAGTCCACGCCCTACCTCCTCCAAAAAAAAAGGAGGAACAACAAAGATCTAGTCAAATACCGATTCAAAATAAGATTATAATCTTAGGAAGAGCTTCTCCTAGAAGCCTGAGTGAGACAAATTAAGAGGAACAGAGATAAAAGAATCCAGGACTAAAAGGGGCTTTAAAGAAAAGCCTTCTAATTGAACCCTATTTTAATATTGAGGCCTAGAGAGAAAGAGTAATTTACTCATGGTCAAACACAGAAAACACTGTTATCATAGGTTTAGATCTAAAATGAATCTTAGAGGTTACCTGGTTCACCACCCCATTATTTTCCACAGATGAGGAAACTGAGAGCCAGAAAAGTTAACTCACTTACGCAAGGTCACACAGCTAGAAAAGAATGTAGCTGAGACTTGAACACAGGATCTCTCATTTCAAAGCCAAGACTCTTTCCCCTGCAACACACTTCCTCTCCTCAGCCTCCTCGGGCTAAAGATTTCTCTAAACTTTATTCACCAACAGCAGCTTCAGAAAACAAACATGGTATCACCTTCAAGCCTGCATCCCCATCCTACTCACTTTGCATACCAACACAGAGGAAATGCACCTGATAAGAAAAGGTGGGGGGAGATGCCAAGAGCAAATACCCTTATTGAAATGATCTTCAGCATTTGACATGATGTAGGAAGGCAGTGAGTCTGGGCAACACCTACAACTACCTCTCTGAAAGAACGGAAAATCTCCCATCCCTGCTGAGCCTGTGCCAGGCTTTCTCCCCCTTCAGCTGATAGGAGGGGCCTGTCTTCCAGCAAGGGGCAGATCCTGGCTCTCTGTGCAATGTACTCATTAGCATTCTGCCCATTCCATGGGGCAAGACAAAAAGGGAAATGATATGTGTCAGTAGCTGCCACCCAAACAAGCCAAAAAGACAGACTCCTAATGTTGGGGTTTACACCCTTTGGTTCAGGGTTTGGCCTTGGCCAGGAGAAGGGAGATGCCTTGAGCAGAAGGGCACCATGGTCTCTCCAGATCCTGGACCACTGCAATGATTTGTTTTCTTTTGGTGGGGTTTCCTGCTCTTCCACAATAAGCCCAGACTTCTGCACACGGGCAGCACAGTGGGCCTCCTGTGAGCCAACATTTAAAAACTGCTGGCCTGGCCCTCCAACCACATGCAGCTCATTCAGCAGGGGAGCCCCTCAGACAATAGGCCCGAGAGTGGCCTAGTAGGGAGCTGCTTTGCTCCAGAAACAGGGTTAATTAGCAGATCCCTGTGAGTCTGGACAATAAAGGCAAAGCCCGGAACAAGATCATGTTTCCCATCTCTTGCTGAACTACAGTTCTCTACAAGTTGTATTGAATCAAACATCTCAACTAAGAGATGGGGGAAGGAGGGAAGGGGATACTCTCTTGCACAGGTAGTGTGACGTAAGGGCTGCCAGGAAGGCCTCATCTCACCCCACCCCCAGTGCTCAGTTTCTCTGTACATTGTAGTTCAGATGAGCACTGGATGGCGAACCAATCCCCCGAATGCCTTTCATTCCAAGATTGCTTTTCCATCCACTCTGTCTTAAATGCCCCAATTTATATACACTTGTCCCTCTTCAGAATGTAACCTCCTTGAAGTCAGGGACTGCTTGGCTTTTCCAAGCACAGAACTTAGCTTAGTACCTGGATCATTGATGATAGATTTAGAGCTGAAAGGGACCTTAGAGGTCACGGAGACCAACCCCCTCGAGGAAATTGAAAAAGACAGAAGTTAAGTGACTTGCCCGGTATCACACAGGCAGTAAGTGTCTGAACTCAGGCCTGACTGCCCCTAAGACCAGTGTCCTATTACTCCTAATACGTGCTTGTGGATTGTTTCAAGTCCCAGTTTTTTCCACTGACTGTGTGGCTTTGACCAAGGTGTACTAGGCAGCACGGTGCAGAGGAAAGGCAGCTGATTTGGACTCAGAGGTCCAGAGAGATATTGGGCAAGTCACTTAAATTCTCTGGGCCTGTTTCTGCATCTGTAAAACAATGAGGGTGCACTCAGTGACCTCAAAGGTCCCCTTTAGTTTTAAATCAATGATCCTATGTTCCTATGAACTTCAAAGTCTCAACCAATAAAACTCTGTGATGCCTGAAATACCACTATTAGGAGCCATTCCTTTGGATTAAGCACAGCCTTCAAACTGTGGTCTTCACTTAAAAGGCAAAGCCCATGGGAGGAGTAACAAATTAAGTCCTTACCAACTCAGTGTGAATTTATCCTATGTCTTTCATTCAACATTTATTAAGCCCCTAACACAGCCCCTTGCACACAGAAGACCTAGGGATGCAACAATGAAAAGGAATTTAAAATTAGGTAATTTACTGTCTAGTAGGGGAGATGTGACGTGTTTCCTACCCGGCAAAGGGAACGACAAAGGGGCCAAGGAAGCCGAAGAGCCACAGACATCCCATGGGCACAGTGGAGTGGATGTGGGGCTCATTAAGGACAGACAAGCATCAGGATGCCACAACTTTACCTAGGGTTAGCCCTGTGTATATGCCTTAAAAGGACAAAAATGATGGAAGGAAAACCTTACAAATAAGGGAACTTTGGGGAGAGGAAAGGAAAAGAAGTGTGAACTGACTTAACTTACAACCAGAGAATAAGATTGAAACCCCAGTCCTCTGATTCCAAATCCACTACCTCATGCAGGTTAATGATTATTCAATAACCAAATTCAAATTGAGGCACAGCTAAACTTTCAAGAATAAAACTCAATTCAGCTTCCTTATTGTGCTCATGAGCTCCAGAATGCTGAAGGTCTCATTAACTGTGCCAATCAATTTACATCTGAATGGTGCATGGCTATCCAATATAAACCAGATTATTTTAATTACAAAAATCATCCACACAATCTAAAGTGACACTTCCTCCTCTTCCTTGCCCTCAAAGGGGAGTCCCAGATAAAGCTGCCAAAAGATTAAGCCTTCTATTTTATTCAAGGCTCAGACACTGTTTTGCCTAATTTTTTTTTTTCCAAACGACACATCACCCAGGAAACACAGCTCTGCACAATCATTGGCTGTTGCTTGAGTTAAAGAGGGGCCTGAGCTCAGCTGCAATAGAGAATCACAATCCAAAAGGGAGAACAGAATCAGGGAGGAAGAATCAAGCTCAACAATTTCGTAAAAATGCATTACATTGACAAAATGCTTTCACTCCTCAAAGCATGCTTTGTCGTGAGATAGTATGATGTTGGGGAGAGAACTCTGGATTGGCTGTTGGGGCCCCGTGGATTCTGGCTATAATTTCTATCACTTACTGCATTATTCCCTTTCATGAACTCTTAAGTTCCAGCCAGACTGGCCTATTACCTATTCCCCAAACCTGACATGCTACCTCTTATCTCTCTGGCTTTGCACAGGCTGTCCCCAGTGCTGGAGATACACTCTTTCCTCACTTCCTCACTTGAGACTCAGGGCTCAAGCACCCCCTCTTACAGGAGGCCTTCCCTGGTTCCAAAGCCCCATCTCATCCACCCAGGTGCTGATGTCTCCTTGGGCCCCTATATATCTTGTACCTGTTGTTCATCTATCTATTTATTTATTTAGACATTCGTTCATTCATTCATTCATTTGCATGTTGTTTACCCTGATAAAATATAAGTTCGTCATCGAGGGCAAGAACTGCCTCACTTTTGGTTTCCTGCAGCCCTAGAAACTAGAAAAGTACATCGTACATAGTACTCGCTTAATGTTTATTTAATTGAATTAAACATGACCTTGAACAAATCATCTCCTAGACCTCAGTTTCCACAATTACAAAATAGATGGGAGGCACTAACCTATGTCTAAGGACGGTTCCAGTTCTAGCCCTCAGGGATATGTTGGATCTTCTATTTTATCTGATCTTACTGCATGCCCACAAAATAGGGTTTATTATGTCCTTTTTGCAGATGGGAAAACTGGTACACAAGGACATGAAATGTCACCCAGAATCCAGAAAGACCCTGGCACTTTCACGTAGTCACTTGATCACCAACAGGTTCCTAGAATTAATATCTACGATGCATTCTGATAGCTAAAGCAAATATTAGTGACAAAACCAAAAATTAGAATTCTTTCCATGAAACAAGAACATGAAAAGGATACTGGACAGAGAATCAGAAGACCTGAGTTCTAATCTGTCTCTATCATTCACTAGCTGGGTGAACTTAGACCACTCATTTACTCCTTACAGGCCTCAGTTTTCTCATTTTTAAAGTGATGGGATGGGCAAGATGACCTTTTGGATTCCTTCCTACTCTCATATTCTGAGAATAAACCAAAGGGTTTGAAGATCCTTTAACACTTCAGAAAAGTGCAGGTAATCAAAAGGGTGAAAAAGAAAATAGAGATTGGAATGAGGATGGGGAATTGGAGGGTTTCCAAGGACTTCAGGAAGCAGCACTTACCTGTGATCCTGCCTATTGTCCCCTGCACAAAGTTTCCAGCATATCCAGCAACATGAGCTCCAAGACTGTAGCCAATCAAGTGAACATTCTCAAGAGAAAAATGCTCCTTCTCCTGAAATCACAAAAATATATTCATTAGAGGCTTGGATTTCTGAGTCTGAAGAGGTCAGTCAAAGTCCTAACTGGTCCTTGAAAGAAAGACTACTCTCTCTGTGATCCATGGGCCTTGGAAATGTTGGCTTGAGCTCCTTAAACTCATGGGAATGAGAGATTGTGGGGGAGGCTGGGGCCAAGGCTCATGACTCCAATTTCAACTGTCCAAGAACTATAAGGAAAGGCCTGGCTAGATGCTACCAGCAGGGCCCATTGATCCTCTACCAGCGCCTCTTGGTCTCTTCAGATTGTAAGGAAGCATGGTGCAATGGGGCTATATTTGGAGAATAGGGATTGTTTCATTTTTGTCTTTGTATCTCTTAGCACCTAAGCACATTGCCAAACATATAGTAGACACTTAGTAAATATCTGTTGAATCAAATAGAATGGAAAAAGGAAAAGAAATACCTGAAACTACTGGTCAAAGTCTTCTTCCTAATGGCTCAATGACAGGATTTTCCCATCAGCTCTCCACCCTCTCTGTCCCCAATTCTCCCCCACTCTATTTCTTCTGATATAGACAGAGTAACTAAACGTGGAGTCAGGAAGACTCCAGATCCCACACTGACACTATGTGATCCTGGGCAAGTTGCTTAGCTTCCCAAAGCCTCAGTTTCTTCATCTGTAAAATAAAGAGGTTGGATTCAATCACCTCTAAAGTCCTTTCTAACTCTAAGTCTATGATCTTCTGAATCTCTGTTTTCCCACACCCACCCCAGTGTATTGCCAGGCTTTAAGTAAAGGGGAGATTAGCCATCTTTGTGAAAAAAGTTGAGGATGCCTAACTTTGAGGAAATAGGTAGCTGTGAAGAGGTCATTATCCCCATGGCCCAAGGAACAGGTCTCCATAGACTTAGGTAGAAGCTGAAGATGATGATCCTGACAGGCCAGAATCCACTCCCAATTCACCTGATTCCTGATGTAAAACTAAGGTTTGGGCTTGAATGATCCAGGCAATTATTTCATTTTGCTAGTGCAGATGCATTCTAGGTTATCCTGTGGATGCCTGGTAAATCTTTAACATGTAAAGAGGGGATTCAAGACTTCCTTCTTCACGTTCAGTGTTCTCAACTACTTATTTAGATGTATTTCCATGAATTTGCTTCAAACTCCCTTGGAAAGTTAGTATCCAGCCACCCAGGAGCAGCTACCACCGTGGAACCTCCTAAGCACCTTTAAAATTATAAGGCGGCCCTGGATTCCAGCCATTTCCAATAAAACCACGGAATTTTGAGCTAGCTGCAAGGGACTTCAGGCATCAATCCAAGCCTCTCATTTTACTAAGGAGGAAGCTGAGGCCAGAGGAGTGAATACCTTACCCAAGGTTACATAGGTAGTTCCAAACCCAGGACTCAAAAGCAGGTCCAGCTAAATTTCTTATTCTTTGCATTAAACCATGCTGCCTTGGGCTAAAATGTGGGTTTATAAAATTAGCAAATATGACAGGATCAAATCTTAGGAACCTTAGAGGTCATCTAGTCTGACACACACATCCCCCATTTTACAGATGAGGTACTTGAGTAGAGATTTTTGTTGTTGTTCAGTCATTTTTCAGCCAAGTACAACTCTTCGTGACCCCATTTGAGGTTTTCTTGGCAAAGATACTGGAGTGGTTTACATTTCCTTCTCCAGCTCATTTCACAGATGAGGAAACTGAGACAAACAGGGTAAAGTGACTTGCCCAAAATCACATAGGTAGTCTGAGGTTGGCACCCTATCCACTGTGCCACCTAGCTGCCCTGAGTATTGACTTACCCAAGCCTAAGTAGTTAACAAAAAAAAAAAGATCTTGGATTCAAACCCAGGACCTATGATTCTGAATCTTCTACCATACTCTTTCCACTGGGCCAGGATATATTATAAGTCAAATCCTCTCTTGGCAAATATGTTGACTAGGAATACTTCTGTTTAACACCAGTAAAAGGTTTCCTCCACATTGAGCCAATGACTCAGCTTACTTCAAACAATGTTAGATTCTACAATTCCAACCCAACCAAAGAACTTCACTGGGTCCTTGGAGTTCACTGTAACAGGAACTGACATAGTTTCCTCTAATTTTAGAATGTACTCCTCCTCCCCCCAATTACCTGCAGCCAATCCAGCATCTTGGCAATTTTAGAACCCACTTCCCTGGAGTTGTTGACGGCATCTGTATAGAGCTGATGGGCCAATGGCAGCCAGTCCACCACGACTACATTAGCATCCTGCTCTCTCATCTGGAGGGCTGACACGAGCTTGAACAACCAATTCTCAAACATGCCACTCATCTGCACAGGAAAGAAGACAGGGTGCTGTTATTTTCCCCATAAGTCTTGGGAGCTTCCCTCAACAACAGAAACTAAAGGTTGCCCTCAATCTTTCACACTGGTGACCCACAAATTAAACTTGTCGCAACCTAGACTGAGCTCTATAAGGGCAAGAATGGTAGTTCAGCCTAAAAAACTTATCTTCCCCTGCACTCTACACACATTCTGAATAAAAACAGCAACAGGGACAATTCCAAGCAAAGCTTTTGTCAGGATGGGGATGGGAAACCCCCTTTTCTCCCATCAAAACCTTCCTTTCTTAATTGAGCCAAATTTATAGAAATTAGAGCCATTCCCCAAATGATAAATGGTCGAAGGTTATGAACACATTTTTTCAGAAGAAAAAAAATCAAAGCTTTCAAGTCACATTAAAAAGTGCTCTAAATCTCTAATAATTAGAGAAATACAAATTAAAACAATTCTTAGGTACCACCTCACACCAATCAGATTGGCTAGGATGACAGAAAAAGAAAATAACAAACGCTGAAAGGGTTGTGGGAAGATAGGTTTGTGATAGCAAAAGACTGGAAACTAAGTGAATGCCGATCAATTGGGGAATGGCTGAAGAAGTTAATGGCATATGAATGTGATGGAACACTATCTCGCTATAAAAAAATAATGAAGGGGATGGTTTCAGAAAAACGTAGGAAGACGATTATGAACTGATGCAAAGTAAAATATGCAGAATCAGGAGAACCATCTACACAGTAATGGCAATATTATAAAGATAATCAACTATGAAAGATTTAGTAGCTCTCATCAATACGATGATCCATGCCAACTCCAAAAGACTCATGATGACATATGCACTCCATCTCCAGATTGAGAAGTGATGGACTAAGATTGAAGATTAAAGCATATTTTTTTCTTGTTTTTAGGGTGGGAATGGAGGTGGGGGCAGAGAACCTAGCTAACATAGAAATGTTTTTTGCATTATCTTGAATATATAGTGGGTATCATTTCTTGCTTTCTCTTATTTTGTTTTATTTTTAATTTATTAAATAAAACAAGCATTTCCATAACACAGTAGAATTTTGTAAAAGATGCACATGAAACTGGAAATCTATTATATACAACTTGCTATTCCTTTTAAATATATGATAAAGTTATCATGTAAATTTCTTTTTTTCCTCTTCTCAACGGGCAGGAAGTAGTAGGAGGGAGAGAATTTCAAACTGAAAATAATTTTTTTTAAAGAACTTTCCTTCCCAGTGTTTCAGTCTTTCAGGACTATGCTGAAAGGCTACATTAAATCTCAGAAATTGGACTGGACCTGTGCTACCATTAATATAGGGAAGCTCCCAGACAGGAAATTCCATTTACCAAATCAGATCTTTTACTTCTTCTGTAATTTATAATCTTAGAGAGTTGACTGAGGCACTAAGAGTTTAAATGTTTTGCCCAAGGTGATACTGCCATTATGGGACAGAGGTAGGTCTTATACCCAGCTCTTCCTGCCTCTAGCCCTGGCTGCTTCTCTATCCCCTACACCACAGATGCCTCCTAATCTCAGAAATTAATCCATATTAAAGTGGTCATTGAGGAATAATTTCTTAAGGTTTTTTCAGTCCCAGTCCTCACCTTTTGAATGGTCCATTCAAAATAGTCTGAGTCCTAGGGTCGAGTTCCCTGGGAGCAGATGACTTAACGAGTTCCCTTCTTGGATAAAAATGTAGAGAACTACTTTCTCTCATGCAAATGTAGAGAAATAACAAGTTACTATTGTCTAGGTCACCATCTACTAGGGCCAGAAAGAAGCTGGGGGACTCTTTGTTCCCACAGCTGAGACAGGGGAAGTCACTTCTAGTAGTACATTATGGATTAATTAGATTTTTGTGGGCTGGCCTGGGAACATAACTACTATGACTCACTTTATTCCCGTGTTTCCCACTCTACCCAAGCAACTTATAGTCTTATGAGGAGATATCAAACTCTTGGTAAACTGAGGACTGTTTGCATTTTGATTTAACTCAATGGTTCTCCAACTCTGAGGTCTGTGGGGGCTGAGACCTCTTATCTACATTGTGCATCTCCTAGTAAACAGTAGATATTAAATAAGTGTTTATCTGATTGTATTAAATTTCAGAGAAGCCCAATGTGGGAGCTGATGCTAACTAGGTATTTGACCCATGAAACCTCTCTCAGCCTCAGTTTCCTCAGCTATAAAATGGGGATAATAATAGCACCTACTCCATAGGGTTGTTGTAAGGATCAAATGAGATAACATATTTACAAATTTAGCAAACTGTTTGGGAAATCTTTTTTTTTTCTTGGCTAAGCAATGGAGTTACGTGACTTGCTAGTGTTATTTGTCTGAGGCTGGATTTGAACTCAGGTCCTCCTGAATCCAGGGCCAGTGCTCTATGCACTTCACCACCTAGCTGCCCCTATGTTTGGGAAATCTTAAAGAGCTATATAAATGCTAGCTATTATTATTTTTAGGCAGGCAGACTCTCTATATGTCTCAAATCTCACCAGGTAGAAAAATGGCTGCATTTCCCCTGCATAGGGCCAGTTCTGGTCAAGAAGGAGAGAGAGAGAGATCTTAGCACCTTCCTCCTATCACCTGGTGATTGATGTCAAAATACCTACACCGTGTGAAGCCAATGAATTTATCACTACAATAGTGAACATTTTATGGCTTACATTAACATATTAATTTACAAAAGCTTTTCTTCCTCACCTTCCATAATTAGTACTATCAGAACTCTGATCAGCTTGTGGAAGAGAGGGAGAAAGAACAATATTCAAAGTAATTCTACTAGCACATATTAATTATCTCCTAAGTGACAAGCACTATACTAGATGCTGGGGGGACCAACACAAAAATAAAACACAGGGCCTGACTCCAAGGAGCTTAGACACTCATAGACTTTGACCCTTCAGTGGAAGACAGCACGAAACAATAGCAAAACTCATGGTAAATAGAACAGAGACCATTGGAGCTACAAGCATTGGCAACCCCTTTTTAATAATGTCTCTTAATTGCTTATGTGATTTGATTGTTATTTGTGGGGAGGGGTGATGTTAATTCTTTGTAGTGTAGTGGTACAGCCAGTAAGATTATTGTATGTAGTGATGCAGCTAGTCCTGGACCTGGAATCAGGAAGACCTGAGTTCAAACCTGGCCTCAGACACTATCTGTGTGACTTTGGGCAAGTCATTTCACCATTTTTTGCCTCAATTTCCTCTTCTGTAAAATAGAGTTATTAATAGCACCTATCTGCCAGGGTTGTAGTAAGGATCAAATGAACTAATATTTATAAAATGTTATGCAAACCTTAAACACTATATAAATGCTAGCTTTAGTATTTGTTCAATGCTTCATTTTATTTGGAGAAAATATTTTTGTGGGTTGTTTAAAAAAAAAAACCTACCACTTTAACTTGGACTTTTTAGTGCAGACGGTTGTTTTATGAATGAATGACCTCCCTAGTCACAGAATCATAAAATATTAGAGCTAGAACATGAATTAGAGATAACCTAACCTTCTCACTCATCGAAAGTCTCTGAAGCTCAATGTTAAAGCCCTTTTTGTTGAAGGCTGCTATGAGCTGGTCTTTCAACACGTGCTGCTCTGATAGTATGTCCCTAAGAGCTTCAGCAATTTTGAACCAGCCCATCTCTCTGTAGAAGAGGGCACTGAGCCAGCAGTTTCCCCGTCCCCCCCCACCCCCATCCCAGACAACCCTTCTGGCTCCTCTTCAGATTCAGACTCCAGCCAGCTCGACACCCAAAAAGGGATATTGGGAGGCAGTGGCTGACCGATGTAATTAAACACAATTAAAGGGCTACTTAAGTGGCGGTTGGGCTCCACTGCTGCTGCTTTGAGGAGCTCCATGGATAAGCCTGGTATGTGCCAGGGATAAAGCCTGCTGTCTGCCACCACAGGCTACAGCTGGAATACAGCCTGCTCCTTAAAATCAGTGCCTGAACTCATTCTTTACAGATGCCTGAAACGCAAACAGCAAGCAAGAAGAACAGGCAGGAGAGGGGGGTAAAGGGAGGACCAGAAGCCTAGATGTTCATTTTAATTGGACAGCTCAAAGGAAACCAGATACTCATAAAATTCAGAGCTCCCTCCCCCAGAAGCTCACCGTCCATCCATGGATGATGAAGAAGGTTTTTGCTGTTGTGTTGAAACCACAGTCTTTTAAATGTTGGTCATGGCCCCTGGAGAGATAGCAGCCTTCATGCTCTGGGTCCTTGGAGGTTCTGATATTAAACCGCACTGAGGGCTTGGCAGGAGGGTGCACTGTGTTGGACTGGGTATGCTCAGTTAAGTTTTTATCTGTGGACAAAGGAACATAGTTGGATGCAATTGATATGTCAAGGTTCTAGTCTAGGATGTACTGCTGTGTGACCTTGGCCATGCTGCTTTAGCTCTCTGGCTTCATGTTTTTTCATCTGTCAAACAATAATAATACCCAACACTTGCATGATGCTTTCTGATTTCAAGGTGCTTGTTATATATTATCTCATTTGATCCTCATAATAACCCTGTGAAGCAAGGAATTCAGATTCATGATAATCTCCATTTTATAGATGTGGAATCTGAGTTTCAATGGTTTGCCCAAAGTGACACAGCTGAAACAGTTCAATCCAACCAAGTAATCCAACCAAGTATTCATTAAGTGATCCCTGTCTATGAGGCACTATGGTAGGCAAGGACAAAAAGAAAAAAAAAAGCCTGGAAGAACAAGGAAAGAAACCAGAATCCTCTAACCTGGAGTGACTTTTTTTTTTCTATCTAGTGCTCTTCCAAATGGTTACCTCTGAAAATGATACTCTACTACCCTCTTCACTATATCATGCCACAGATAGATGTCCCAACAAAAGCACTTTGGCAATATTGTGATAACAAATGCAGAGGTACTATAGTCTCTTCTCTCCCTGTCTCTCTCCTCTCTTCTCCCCTCTCTCTCCTCCCTCTATCTCTCCCTCCACTTTTCTGTCTCCCTTTATTTCTCTATCCTTCCTCCTTTTCTCTCCCTTTATCCTTCCCCCTCATTTGACTCCATTCTTTCTCCCTCTCTCCTTCCCCACCACACACACCATTACAAAAGCAATCTCTTTTCTTCCTTCCTTTCCTTTCACCCCTTCAAAGAAAATTAAAATGTTGTAGAGAGAATGACAGAAGATAAACTGAGTCATAAGTTCATCAAAAATTCTTTTCAGCCTCAGCAAGCATCCCCATAGCTCCTAACTCTAGGAAGTGAGTTTTCCCTATGGCTCAGCCAGTACCAGTAATGCCTGTTTGGTTTTTTGTTGTTGTTGTTGTTGTTTTTGTTTTTTAATACAGGAGTTGGTGCTAGGTCTGCATCCATCTACAGTCTCTTAGACAGTAGGTAGACTTCACTCAGTCATCTCTTGGGATTTCCCCCAAAATCATCCTGATAACAGGCTGGAAAGTTGTCATGGCATACCAGGTAGGACATTGGATTCAGATTTAAGGTGTACAAGGAATAAAGGATTGAGAATGGGAGGTAGGGAAAAGAAGCAGCAAACCAGAAGGAAAGAGAGAATGTTCCTAAAGGAATTTCAATTCAGTGCACAGTGTTCTGAGCTCTTTCCTGTACTGTGCTAAGTCCTATGTGGAGAACACACAAGAAGGCATCATCTTTGGCCCTAGAAAAAGCTTACAGTTTAGATATTACTAAATTAATAAATAAGCCCAAATGGGCAGGATTTTGGACCTGAATTATTAGCAGTTTAGCACCTTCACTGCCCTAACTCAGATTGGGGAGGAAGGTGGAGGGCAGGACTAGGGAGGAGAGAGCAAGATATTCCTGAAAAGAAAAAGGAATTAACTACAGGAGATAGGTGTATATATGCACACCTGGGCAAGATTTAGTTTGGTTTTCTTTATCCCTTGATGCCTTTCCATCTATTGTCCAGTGGCCAATAAATCCTTAAATTACTAGACTGTTAGGGCTGAAAGAGAATTCAGTTATTGTCTTACCTAAACTAACACTTTTATTTTAGAGATGGAGAAATTAAAGCCTAAAGAGGTTAAGTGACTTGTGACACAGCTCATTAAAAAGCTTTAAAACTCTAAAAAGTTATATACATGCTTTTTTTTAGTTGCTTCAGAACTGCATTTTTATTATTTACAATCTCCCAACCCCATACTCCAATCCAAGCCTCTTAAAACACTAGTTTTTAATTTTTTGTGTGTCAAAGACCCCTCTGTCAGTCTGCTGAAGCCTATGGACCCCTTCTCAGAATAGCGTTTTTAAATGAATAAAACAAAATACATAAGATTACAAAGGAAACCAGCTATGTTGAAATGCAATCATTAAAAAAAAATTTTTTTTAATTTCATGGGCCCCAGGTTAAGATCCCCTGTCTTAAAAGTGTTTTAGAGAAAGTAAATTTGTAAGCAGCCATGGGCATTTTCTATTAGCTCTTCTAAACTAGGGCAGTCATAAAGTTCAAACTAGTAAGGTGCTGTTTGGGAGTCACCCACCACACCTTCCCAATTGCCTCACTAAATTAACTTAGAAAGTTCAAAGGTATTTGCTGCCATCCTAATATTCAAGTTGGACACCTTCTACACAGAAACTCGAGGAGCCATATCCGGAGAAAGTTGTGGAGAAGGGTCAGAGGAGGAGGAACTGGAGGAAGAAGAGGAATAAACAGAAATGATGCTCGGGCATCAAAAACTGACAAGCCAAGCAACTTATCTGAATACAGTTGCTGCTCCAAACTCCCAAACCACGCGCTAGTCAAGCCACAGGAAAGTAAACTTTCTTGGAATTGGAAAGCGATATCCTCCCTCCTCCTATCTTTCCAGGAACCTATGCCAGATTAAAATAAACCAGCGAGCTCTCCACCTTAATTCTGAAAAATCGATGGCCTGGCCAGGGCGTGGGGGGGGGGGGAGGATATTAAAGGCTAGACGAGTTGCTGGCAATTTGTCAGAACGAACACTAGTTAAAATGAGTACAATTTTTAAAAGCTCGGGGAACTGAAGTGGGGAGGGAGGTGGAGAACGTAAACGAAATCGGCCTCAGTTGTCTTTCTATTGCCACGCGATGGGAAGATGCCCTGGGGATAGCTAAATTAAATCCTAACAACAAGTGGATTCAGAGAGCAATTAAGAAGGACGAGAAAAAGACCGCGGGGGAGAAAGAGAAGCTAAGAGGCGCAAATTGTGGAAAAGAAATCAGAAAGAAAAATGAAAATAAATGAGGATTACCTTTCAGTAGCCCCTCTGGACCATCAGGGTCTGTGTTTCCCGCGGCAACAGAACAATAGAGACTCCAGAGGCAAAGCACAGAAATGAAGCTTCTCATCGCTTCCCCCCTGCCGCCGCCCCTCCCGCTAAGGAGGAGGGGAAAAAAGGGTAGGGATATTTCTTCTGCAAAGGAAGGAAATCCTTTTGCGAGCCTTAGCTGCACTTTGCCTTTTCTTCCTCCGGGAGATAATGAGGTAAAAGTCAAGAAATTCGTGGGGAAAAAAAAATAAAGAGGGGAATATGGGCAGTAAGGAGTGTATGTGTGTGTGTGTGTAGGGCGACAGGAAAAGAGCTTGAACTATATTCGCCCACAACCTCAGCGGCCAAGGGGATGACTCGCTGTCAAGGAAGGATGCCGGAGTGGGAGAAGTTGTAGTTTTTAAAAGTATCGGAGTCATCTGACCCATCGCCAGATGGTAATTTGCCTAATTTATTCGGAGTCCCGAGCGCTGATTGGTCACACCTTCTCCAGCTCGGGGGCAGAAACTCGCTAAAGTTTGAATGAAAGAGCCGCACACTCACCTTATGACGCATTCTTACGGCTGGACCAGGCTGAGTAGAGTGCTCCGCGCTTACACGCACACGTGCTCACACACACACACACCCCTACCACCAAGGGAGAATCTTGTGTGTAGATAATCTCCTAAAGATTATCCCTATCGGAAGGAAGCCTCATTTTGCTCCCCAGAAACATTGCTTTCCTTCACTTCAGGGAAAAAAAATGTCCACTAGGATAAGCCATCTTCCTCTTCTTCCAAAGCATTTCCCCCCCCCCGCCCCCCGCCTCCGAGTCCCACAAAGTTTTCCTCGCCTTCCCGCTGTATCCTGGGGTGCGGTGGAGAGAGCGTTGAGGGGACGGAAAGGCAGCACTTACGGCCGATCATATCTCTTCCTCTCCTCTCCTCTCCCATCTTCCTTGAGCCGGCTTGCAGGTGACAGAAGGATCAATAAAGGACAATGAGAGCGAGCTGAGATTGACTGGATCGATCTGTTAGCTAGACAGACTGAGGGAGGGGAAGTGGAGATCATTCGAGGTCTACCCTCAAAGAGCCGAGTCTCTCCTAGCCCCTAGAAGAGCTTGTAGGGCGCTTAACAGTGCGAGGCACTTGCTGCTCAGAAAACCTCGTGGAACTAAATTAGAAAACACGGCACACTGGATCATTTGGGGACAGCTCCAAAACTTGGAACTGAAAACTTCCAAGAACAAATTGCCCACTCCGCAAACACGCGCACACACCATTCTCTCCTCCTCTGGATCTCCCTCTCTCCCCATTTTCTTTTCTTTTTCTCTTCTTCCTTTCCTTCCTCCTGATTCCCTCTGTTCTATCTTCTCTCTCTCTCTCTCTCTCTCTCTCTCACCCCTTCTCTCTCTCTCTCTCGCTCTCTCTCTCTCTCTCTCTCTCTCTCTCTCTCTCACCCCTTCTCTCTCTCTCTCTCTCTCTCTCTCCTCTCTCTCTCTCTCTCTCTCTCTCTCTCTCTCTCTCTCTCTCTCTCTCTCTCTCTCTCTCTCTCTCTCTCTCTCTCTCTCTCTCTCTCTCTCTCTCTCCCTTCCCTCCCGGGGCTTCTGACCCTGAGAAAACAGCGTCACCGGCTTCTTCTCCGGGCTTGGGACCCACAGTCCCGGCCCAGAGGGACCGGCGAAGTGAGAGGATTCTGCGGATTAAACCCAGTTTTAAAAAGAAAAAGAAAGGGAAAAAAAAACCACACACGTTTTGGGCAGCCGGGAGAGAAGCTGGGGGGGGAGGGAAGCCACTTTTTTCTCCGCTGAGCAGAGGGACCACCCGATGGGTGCCGGGAAGATAAATGCAGAGAGAATCAGGAAAAACGACTTTGACCGCAAGCAACCCCTCTCAGGCAAAGCAACGGGCGGGCTCCCGGACCTAGCCTAAGAGCAAGGGGAGGGTCTGGGACCGGGCTTAGAGGAGAGATATAACACACCAAGAGCCACTCCACCTACCTGGTGGAGAGACTGTCTTTTCTCCTGTCCACGCCCCACGAGTCCATTTACCCCACCGACGTCACAGCTCAGGGCGCCCCTAAGTCTGCTAACCAAAGCTTCCAGGGGTCCCTTCCCTACTCCAAGTCTCCGCTTTCCCACGAACCAGAAGAGGGGAGTAGAAGTGAGGAGAGAGAACAGCTCAAGAAGGAAAAAAAGGCAAAGGAGAAAAAGAAGAGAAAATAGGAAGAAAGAAAGGAAGATCCAGAGGAGAGGAAATCGGGGTGTGTGTGTGTGTGTGTGTGTGTGTATGTGTGTGTGTGTGTGTGTGTGTGTGTGTGTGTGTGTTTGTACAGTCTGCAATCAATGATAAATGAACACGCAGCTCCAGGAACCTGAAAGCTCCTCTGCTTGAGCAACTCGTGAAACAGTGATCGTCTGTTCCCCATTTGATAAGAAGAAATCAAAATTATCAATAGTCAACATGAAAAAATGCTCTAAATTAGAGAAATACACATTAAAATGATTCTGAGGTATCACCTCATACCTATCAGATTGGCTAGGATGACAGAAACGGAAAATTACTGGAGGGATTGTGGGAAAGTAGGTACACTAATAAACTGTTGGTGGAGTTGTAAACTGACTCAACCATTCTGGAAAATAATTTGGAACTATGCCCAAAAGGCTATAAAACTGTGCATACCCTTTGACCTAGCAATACCACTTCTAGATCTGTATCCCAAAGAGATCAAATAAAAAGGAAAAGGAGATTGTGTGTGTGCCCATGCGTGCTCTTTTTGTAGTGTCAAAGAGTTGGAAATGGAGGAGATGCTGATCATTTGGGGAAGTTATGATATATGGATGTGACTTTGTGATAGAAGAAATGAAGGGGATGGTTTCTGAAAAACTTCGGAAGATTTATATGAACTGATGCAAAGTGAAATGAGCAATCTACACAGTAAGACAACAATGTACACAGTAACAACAATATTGTAAGGATGAATAAATGTGAAAGACTTTGATGCTCTGATCAATACAGTAATCCAAGAAAATTCCAAAGGACTCATGATGAAAAATGCTATCCACCTTCAGAGATAACTGATGGACTCCAACTACAGATTGAAGCAGACCTTTTCCATTTTCTTTATGTTTCTTGCTTTTTATTGTCATTGTAATTTTTCTGTTTGTTTTGGTGAGGCAATTGGGGTTAAGTGACTTGCCCAGAATCACACAGCTAGGAAATATTATGTGTCTGAGGCCGAATTTGAATTCAGGTCCTCCTGACTTCAGGGCCGGTGCTCTATCCACTGCGCCACCTAGCTGCCCCGTGTCATTGCAATTTTTTGCAAAATGGCTAACATAGAAATGTTTTGAACGACTTTTACATGTATAATTGATATCACACTTCTTACCTTCTAAATGGATGGGAGAAGAGCAGGATAAGGAAAGAATTTGGAGCTCAAAAATTTTTTTAATGAATATTTAAAATAAATAAGTAGATAAATAGACAAATAACTAAAGGAAAATTGTGACAATCTATTCAGTTTTGACTATAGGGATTAAGTCACTGTATTAACATTGTTTTATTGAGGCTCTAAAGCAATAGTGTCAAACTTAGATAAAAATAAGGGCCACTAAACTATGTGTAAGCATTCCTGCAGGCGCATACTAACTTAGAAAACCACATGTAAACATCATTCATATTTTATTGTATTTTTTGTTAAATATTTCCCCAATACATTTTAATCTGGTTTGGGCCACACTTGGGAGTGTTGCAGTCCACATGCATAGATGTTTGACATCTCTGCTCTAAAGGATGCCATTTTGGGACTGGATTTCCAGTTCCACTACTACACTTCCTGTTTTCTCTCATTCCTGAATGCGTTTTTCTTTCTTTTTCTCTTCCTTACTCTGTTCAGACTCATCCTCAAAAGTCCAAATCCTCTGAAAATTTTGTCTTTGTTCCCTTTATTAGCATCAAGGTGTAGGTTACCATAACCTAATCTGTGGGTATAAACATAAGCTTTAAACCTTGAAGGGAAATTAGAGATCCTGTAATCTGATTCCCTCATTTTACAGATGAAGAAACTAAAGCTTAGGGAAATGACTTGTTCAAGGTAACATAGGTTGTTCAGTAGCAGTACCATAATCCAAACCTAGAAAGAACCCTTTGACTCCAGATCTTTCCACTATGTCATAAAGCAGCCACTTTTTCATTAAATGATGAAGTAGAGCTAGAGTAGAGCTAGACCAACCTTTTTTGGTCCCTATACCCCTTGGATTTTAGTAAACCTTCTGGAGCCCAAAGTGACCATGCATCTACACATTTAGGTTAAGAAATTAACCTAAATAGGATAATATAGTTATTTACCAAATACTCCCCATATTCTCTTGATAAGTCCCTCATACCCCAGGTTAGAAACCTCTGAGCTAGGTAAAGTCCATCTAAACCAACATCTCCATTTTACAGATGAGAAAATTGAAGCTCAGAGAGCTTAAATGACTTTTTAAAGGCTCACACCACTAATTAAGAACAGAACAAGTTGCTGAAACCTTGTAAATTCCTGACTGAACTGAGCAATTATGGCCCTTGCCATGCAATAGAAGCTGAGAGGGGCTGCTGAGGTCTTTTAGACCATCGGTATGTGAAAATTCTTCAGTTGCCAGTTGGTTAGAGCCCCACCTTGTGTCTCCACATTGTAACTTCATTTTAACTTTGCCAGAAAGATACATTACTACTTTTAATTAAAGCATCAGTACCATTATTTTTCTGCAGAGGCACATCTGACCTAGACTGGCCTCAATTTGGTTACCTTTGAACTTCTGGCTTAATCAGTCAACAGCATGGAGTGCCAATTAAGAACAAGATAGGATATGTAAGCACCAGTTTAATGATATGAGCAACTAGTGGGACAGGAAAATTATGAGAGAGGGTGGAGATTGGGGGCAAATAAGCATGGGATAGGTTTGGAAGAAAACCTGGAATCAAATCCTGCCACAAGTTAAAAAATACATAAGACTTGACCTCAATCCTTTATTAATCATCTTCTTCCTACTATGCCTAGGACCTGTGTAGGGAACACAAATATAGATGTCATGTCTGGCCTAGAAAAGCTTATAGTCAGAAGGACAAGGGGCGGAGCCAAGATGGCGGCAGGAAAGCAGTGACTTGCTTGAGCTCTCCCCCAAACCCCTCCAAATATCCATTAAAAAAAACAGCTGTAAACAAATTCTAAAGCAGCAGAACCCACAAAAAGGCAGAATAAAACAAATTTCCAGCCCAAGACATCCTGGATGGTTGATCAGAAAGCTATGTTGCGCTGGGTTCGGCATGGGTGTGCAGGCCGCAGTGAACCAGAAGCAGGCCTCAGAGGAATGAATCTCAGGCAGCTGGGGTGGTTTCCAGACTCCTCAATCCACAAACACCAAAGAC